GATTGGGGAAGGGGAGGGGGCAGCCGCACGGGCGGGGAAGCGGTGGCCGGCGGCGCGCCGTGAATTGATCAGGCGGGCGCCCGGCGTGGCGGGGTATGGGGGAGGGGCGTGCCGCGCGGCCGGCCGGCCAATTTCATGGGCAGCAGGGACGCCCACCTCGATGCTCGTGGCCCCCGCATCCAGTGCGTTCTCAACGAGCTCCTTCACCGCCGTGCTGAGGTCGAGGATCACCTGCCCGCTGCAGATGCGGCCGACGGACGCGCGGTCGATCGCCTTGATGCTGCCGGCGGGTGCTGCTGCTGCTGCCGCGGCGTCGTCCTGCTGTGCGTGCTGGGCGGCGGCCGCGACGCCAGGGGTGGGGCCGGCCGCGCCTGGCGGCGTTGGCAAAGCATGGATGTCAGGCGGCGCAGAGGGGCCCGGCGGGTGCGTGAGTTCAGCCAGTGTTACATGCGGGCGCAACGCAGCGTGCGTGCTGAGCACGGCTCGAGCGGCTGTTGCGGCGTCCAAGCTGCACACCTGCCACAGCATCCGCGCCTGGTTCTGAAGTTGCTGGCAGTGCTTGGTCCATCGTCTCGGATACAGAGACGCGGCTATCTTGGTTCTTTGCTGAAAGTGATCATGGCGCGCGATCCAGGCTTGAATCAACAAATGCAATCAAGTAAAACATTAGTGCATTTGTACGATTGTATCTAGTCGCCAGCAACCGCGCCCTAGAACTGGCAGATTCAAACGCCAGGCAATTTTGCACCAAGACAGCATCACCAGCATTGGACCCCTGCAGAGCGTCTGGGGAATGGTGCATCCTGACCTTCAGCGCGCCGCTCGACTCCCTGCTCGTGCGCATTTCCTTATCATACAACACCCACCAGAGCCATTGGTGACTGGTAGCCTCTGTACCTCAGTCTCAGCCCATACCTTGCACCAAACAAAACCGCTGCCTGTGTTACAGGGCGCGAAATCACGCCCAACAACAGCTACCAAAAAAAGCAACAGTTTGATGTATACGGCAATGGAAGTTGCAAACATATGATGCAGTAGGATAAGGCATGAGACAACAGCCGCGGTTACCAAACACGCACTGCCAGTCACCCGGACCCCTGCGGCCGGCTGCGCTTTGGCTGCTGCCGCATCGGCGCCACCGGCCGCCGCACCTTCCCCGCGAGCCGTTTCGCCGCCGCGAACTCCGCCGCGGCGGCAGCCGCCGCGACCTCAGCTGCAGCGGCGTCCTTATCGCGAGCGAGCTGCAACTGCCACTCGTCCGGGCTGGCGGCCAGGCGGGCGTCGGCTGCGCGCCCAGCTCGCGAGGCGTGCGGCTGCGGCAGCGCGAAGGACGAGGCGCGCAGGGGGTCGCGGCACGCGGCCGCCAGCCAGCGGCGCAGGCCCAGCAGGTCGGCGCGCCCTGCGCCGGGCGGGCCGTTGGCGTACCCGCTCTCCGCACTGTCCCCCCGCTTTTCCTTGCGCTTCGGATGCTGCTGCTCCTCCCTTGTCCGCTGCTGCTGCTGCTGCTGCTGCTGCTGCTGCTGCTGCCGCTCTTGCTGCTGCTGCTTTCCAGGCCGCTGGACCTGCTGCTGCTGCTGCTGCTGCTGCTGCTGCTGCTGCTGCTGCTGCTGCTGCTGCTGCTGCTGCTCTTGCTGCTGCGTTTGCTGCTGCCGCCCCTCATCCCGCTGCCGCCCCTGCTCCTCCTGCGTCCCAGCCGCAGACAGCGCGGATGACGGCCCTTTCCCAGCCTCGGGCACACGCGCGACCTTCTGAGGCCGCCGCACCGCGAGCGCCGGTGCAGGCACCTCCCCCTGCTGCTCGACCGCAGCCTCAGCCTTATCCGTGCCCGCCCCCTTATCCCCCGACACAGGCCCAGCCGGTGCCGCCTGCTCCTTGCCCGCCCGCGCCGCGGCCGCTGCCACGGAGAGCGGTGCGCCCGCCGCCGCGCGCTGCTGCAGCGCGGCGATGGCGGCGGCGACCGGGTCCGACAGCCGGGGCGATGTCGCCGTGCGAGCCGCGGCCGCCGCCGCCGCTGTCGCTGCTGCCGGGGCGGCGGACGGCGGCGCCGGCCCCGGACCTGCGGCCGCCGGCTGCAAGGTCGCGCTTGGCGCGCCGGCCACCACCGTCGGGCCGACGGCGCCGCTCGGTGTGGCGGGCTCCGCGGACGTCGGCGCCACAGCAGCCTTCTGTTGGCCCTTTGAGCGCGGCTTTTTCGCCTCCTGCGCCTTGCTGCGCCGCCGCCCCCACGTGATGCGCACAGGGCCGTAGCTCGGCCGCTTGGCCAGGGGCGTCGCCGCCGCCGCCTGGCCGGGCGGCACGGCCTGCTCTTGCTCACCCTGCGCAGCCACCGCGGGGGGGCTGGCAGCCTGCTGCTGGTCGCCTTCTGGATGCTGCTGCCGCTGCGGGCTGCTGTTGCCGAGCAGCGGGATGCCGGGCAGGACTTTCTGCGCGCCGACGAGGAAGCTGCCGCCCCCTGTGCCCGAAGGCGCGACGAAGAGGGAGCCGCGGGCGCCGTTACCGACCTGCAAAAGCATCGCCGCGGGGATGCGGATGACGCCGGCGCCGCCGCCGCCTGTCCTGGGGGCGGCTGCTGTGGCCTCGTTGCTCGTCACCGTGCGCGCAGTTGCGGGCGCGGCGCCGCAGCCGGCTGTTGTGACGGTGCGCCCCGGCACCAGCCCTGGGCCCACGCCCAGGGCGCCGCCGCCAGCGCCGCCGTCCGCGCTGCCGCGCCCGCCGCTGCCGTCTGCGCTGCTGCGTCCGCTGCCGTCGCTGCTGCCGCGCCCGCCGCGCCCCGCGCCGCCCAGCCCGTTGCCTGCGGCCGCCGCCGCCAGCGCCGCCGCAACGGGCGCTGGCCGCCGCTGCACCAGCATGCCGCCAGCACTGGCGGCCCCCGAGACAGGGGCCGGCCGGCGGGCGGCGACCCCCAGTGCCTGCGGCTGCGGCGACGGCTGCGGCTTCTCGCGACCTTCAGTACCTGGCTCGAGCTTCACCTGCTGCACTGGTGGCTGCGTGGCGGCCTGTGGCGCCGCCGCCTCCTCGGCTGCTGCGCTGGTGGCCTTCGGCAGGACCCTCGCCGGCCTCCGCACCGCCAGCCCAGGCGCCGCGTCCGGCCCCGGCGACGGCAAAGCAGGCGCGCCCGCCGCCGCGCCGGCCCCGGCGCCGTTCGCGGCCGGGGCAGGGGCCGTGGGCTCCGGCGTCTGCTTGCTGAGCCCGCTGGGTGGCCCCGCAGCCGCCGGCGGGGCGGCCTCGGCCGCCACCCCTGGGGGCACCGGCGTCGTGCCTGCAG